ATGACCCATTCTATAATGTTCAGAATATTTCTTAGCTTCCCTCAGTCTCAGTTTCTCTTTTTGAAAAATAAAAATATACTTTTGGATAGCATTAAATCACACATGTAGGCATATTAATTCTCCCTGATGCAGACCCCTAAATAGCTGAAGAAATCTTATGTATGATCTAGAGTTAACTATTATGAATCTGCCCAGCTCCTGCCATTGTGATAAACTCCAAGAGCCAGGGGATTAAGTCTTATTTTAGACATAGACTCCCCCCCCCCCCAAAAGGAATCTGGTAGAATCTTAGGGGGTTTTAGACTTTCTCTTGCCCTAAATAAGAATTTGTGCCTTTTTCTCTGTGGATCTCTAATTTTTTTATTCTTCAGCCCTTGCTATCTCATCATACCTTCCTGTGGGTTTTTGGAAGGGATTTAGCTGTTGAAATATACCTGACTATTGACAAAGAAGCTTTCCTTCATTTTATACAGGGTACCATTTCTGTTTCTACATGTCAAGCTATTACTGACTGATAGTAAAGAGACACTGTGGAAGTCACACACAGTTCACATACATTCCATAGATTATAATAAAGTTAAATAAACATTAAAATTTTAAAAAATATGCATCGTTTTCTTAATGAAGAGGTCTGGGAAAATCAAACAAAAACCTTTAATAAGAAAAAGATACAAATATATATTATATGTCCATAAATGCTAATATTTGCTTCTGTGTACTTTACTCACATATCAATTATTATATTGAAACAATTTGAGACAAAAACTTTTGTGATTTCCCTTGATTATAGATTGCATACATACATAAACTCATTAGAATTTCCCCATAGATCTCAGTTCTCTTCTTGCACTTCACAGGTATAATTGTTGAAAAGTTTGTTTGTTTGTTTTTTTCTTATATTCAGCCAAAATCTGTTTCCCAGAACCTCAACTCACTGATAATTTTGACAGTCACTAAGTCCTGGGAGTCAATAAAAATGGGGACACATTTTATCTTCTCTGGAAATACAGACAATCTAGCTGATAGTTTTGTGCTTTAGTTCCCTTTTCTGTAAAATGGCAATAGCAGCATATATATTATGCTGAGCGTGAAATGTAGTAGTGATTTTCTACATGTCAGTTCATTCCATCCACTCCTCTTTTTTCCCTGCCTCAGAAAGTATCTCCTATTGTTGAAGATGGAAATGGCTGAAACAATTAATAAACAAAATGTCAGTATGTAATTAAGCATTAAATTGCTGCTGTATTTAAAATATACATATTAATTTGTGGGACATATAATATGCATGTTGTGGATTTAATTTAGAAATCAATACTTTTGTTGTTGTTGTTTACTTATTTATTTTGAGAGAGACAGAGTGCAAGCAGGGGAGGGGCAGAGAGAGGGGAAGGCAAAGAGAATCCCAAGCACTGTCAGTCCAGAGCCTGATGTGGGGCTCAAAACCACAAACTGTGAGATCATGACCTGAGCTGAAACCAAGAGTTGGCCTCTTAACTGACTGAGCCACCCAGGTGCTCCAGAACTCAATACTTTTTAAAAATGTAATTATGTTCCTCTGTGATACTTGGATGTTCTTCTGTGTTTTTTGCTTTTTTCTTTTCTTTCTTTCTCTGTCTATGCACGTGTCTTTTAACTACTTCTCTCTCTCTTCTCTATATCCAATCAATGACCCAATCATATTGATTATATCCCAGTGTTGTTACACGTTTGAGCCCCTATTTTCTCTTCTAGTTGTTGCTCTAGTCCAGACCCTTGTTAACCCTTTCCTGAACTATAGCATTCTATTCCCAACTGGTCTATTTGGCACGAGTTACGTCCTTCTTCAGTTCATCCTATAGATTCTAGGTGGTTTAATTTTCCTGAGCAAAATTCGGACCAAGATATTGCATTGCTCAAATACTCTCAATATTTCATATTTTTTCATGTTCTTGAATTAAGTTCAAGTACCTTTTCTTGGAAATTAATATTATCTAGATAAAGCTTCACTCTGACTTACTCCTGTTTTACACTTTCTTCACTACCCTGCTTAACAAACCCTAAGGCCCTGCCAAATTTGATATTTGCTCCTTTCCTTTTGCACTTTATAACTCTTGCCTTTGAGCAATGGTTACCTATCATCTCATATTGTCCTTCCCTCTTTCTATACTTTTTACCATCTTTAAATGCTTACACCAGATATTACCTAAATACCCCTCTCTTATTTGTGCTCCTACAGCTCACCGTGACCATTTTAGAACACTTATAATCTTTTGACCTGTTTGCATGAACATGTTTACTCTCCCCAGCTGTGTTATAAACTGCTTGAAAGTTGTCTTTATGTAAGGCACCTAAGTTAGAGTTTTAAACCTGTAGATGACAAAAATATTGCTTTTGAAGTCTCCAGAGTCACTGCGATTTGGAACAGCAGAGTTTGTTTCATAAGGAAGGACAGTCTTTGAGTTGGACAGCAGGGAATTTAAGGGAAGACTTTTCCCAACAGAAGTTTGTATAATGGAAGGCAATTACCCTGAGTAAAGACTTGTGTTGAGGGTAAAGTTGGAAATAAATCCAAGTACTTATAAAGGAGTCTCATCATAGAGATCTTGAAAAACAGAAGAGTTTAAAAAGGCAAACGATGGTAAAATAAAAATATTATATCAGGAGTCAGGAGACCAGTCACAATTTAACTTCTGATAGGTTAAGACTTTAATAATGATTTTTATGCACCTCAGTTGCTAGTGTGTGAAATTAACAGATAAGATTCAATAGTTTCTAGTCTCTTCTAGCTTTAAAATTTAAATTTCTTTAGCCTATAAAGAAATAATGGGCTACATTATGTTTTTGGGCAATTAGTGGCATATAAAAGCAGTAGTTAAGGAAGATAGGAAAAAGATCAATGAAGATTAAAAAAAACTTTATAAATATAATATTTTAGCTACTTTATTCTATATAAGTAAAAATATTTAATAACTTTGGAGACACCTGTAATCATATAAATAATGTGTTACAAGTTAGTGAGTGTATATCCTAACTTTTGTCAGTTTACCATTTACTAGTTGAATGTTCAAAATCCCTAATTTAGAACCATAATAGTCTGAAGGGGTCACAACTGTTATGCAGACCAACACTCAAATTATCCCAGACAAATGAGGTTCTATCTTTGATTTTAAATACCTCAAGGCAAATGGCACAGTCTTTTCCTGGCTCAAATAGATCCAATTACCTCTAATGACCCCGTTACAGTTTATTGAGTGTCTGTGATCCAGGTGCTTTTGCTGAAGCCTAGAGTAAAATTTTATATCATTTTGTGAAACTCCTGGACAAAATGAATAAAAATTACTGAGACCTTTTCTTACAAAACCATTTTTTTAAATGTGAATATTATTGAGAACCTACTGTGTGAAAGAGATGTGCTAGGCCCCACAGAGAAGCCAAAGATGAGTAAGACAGCTTTGATTTGAGGGAGCTTGTAGTTTGCTAAGATGCAGGAAATATGCAAAATAGAGCTTCTGAAGGACTGACAGGTGGCATTCAGTAAATGACAAGTCAAATAATGCAGAAGTTAGACTATGGTGTGTACTACCAGAGAAATACAAAAAGCAATGGGAACTCGGTATCCTAGATTATATATGGAGAGAGAGGAAGACACAGAATCTGAAGCAGACTCCAGGCTCTGAGCTGTCAGCACAGACCCCAACACGGGGCTCAAACCCACGAACCATGAGATCATGACCTCACCCCCAGTTGGACGCTTAACCAAGTGAGCCACCCAGGTGCTCTAATGTTTGTTTTTACAAGTCACAGATTTTTGGGATGCTTGTTATCTAGCATAATGGTAGCCATCTTTGACTAATACATGCATTATTTTGTAATATTTTGATAGCTATGTTTCCTAAATAATGGTAAAATATAAATGGGGTGTTAGGAACAGGAGATTTGTTGTAATAAGTGTTGATTAAATGTCTCAAAATAAATATATCTCAATAAAGGTAATAAGATTAACTAAAAATATAATCTTCTCTAGAAACCATTTTATTCTCATTGGACCCACAAGAAAGTTGAATCTGAAAAAGAGATTAGGATACACAGTACTTTTCAAACTAACATTTATACATGTCCCCTTCTTAAATTAAAGCACAGCATGAAAAATTGCTTGCAGGGCCCCCTGGGTGGCTCAGTCAGTTGTGCGTCTGACTCTGGCTCAGGTCATGATCTCATGGTTTGTGAGTTCAAGCCCCACATCAGGCTCCGTGCTAACAGCTCAGAGCCTGGAGCCTGCTTCGGAATCTGTGTCTCCCTCTCTCTCTGCTCCTCCCCCACTTGTGCTCTATCTCTCTCTGCCTCTCAAAAATAAATAAATGTAAAAATAAAAAAAAATTCCTTATATATTTATACCATTCATCACCTGTGCATTTTAATGCCTTTGTAATTTAGTTACGAGGGATCATGATGCAAGGCATAAATTGCCTTTGTTCTGATGGGGACTTATTTGGAATAAGTGGCCAAAAGATGTAACTATATATTAAAGTTTTGTAACTTTTAAACTATGTATAGATAGGGGCCCATGGGTGGCTCAGTTGGTTAAGTGCCCAACACTTGATTTCAGCTCAAGTCATGATCTCACAGTTCATGAGATTGATCCCTGTTTTGGGCTCTGCACTGACAGCATGGAGCCTGCTTGGGATTCTCTCTCTCCCTCTCCCTCTCCCTCTGCTTCTCTCTGGCTCACTCTGGCTTCACTCTGTCTCTCAAAATAAATGAATAAACTTAAAAAAAAAAAACTATGTACAAATACTTGGCAAGAAAAAGTTGCAATGTCATATAAGGATATACTTAGGAATTATAGACCCAACTGAATAAATTCCTCAATTCTAATGGATGGCCTATGCAATTCAAATAAGCTCATCTAATTTTTTTAGCATGAGTATGTGTGTGTATATATATATATGTATATATATATATACATATATATATATATGAATATAAAGTTGTGTAATTATAGAGTGAATATTTCCATTTCAGATGTCAAAGACATCCTGTCAAAAGCCAAGAACTATGAGTAAGTGGATGAAAATACTTTGCTTCATAAACAAGTTGGCCTATTTTTTTTATCCTACTTCTTTAAAGAGACAATTTCCTTTTATAGGTAAGATAGTAATTGTTGAATAATTAAAATATATTTCACAATAAGTCAGTAAGACATAAAGGACATCAGGACCATTTTGTTTCAACAAGACTAAAACCGTTTTCTACATATTTATCTATCAATATGTAAAAAACTCATTAAGTAGATGTTTTATTATTATGCATCTCTAATTCAAATTTCTCAGTTGCAGGAAGAAAACCTTTTTGAAAATATTTTGAATAGTTCCTTAGCGAAAGATTTTTGTCTACTAAGATTTCCACTTTAAAGTTGAGGTTATGATGTAGAACTGATTTAATATAGGTTATATTTAGTTAGTTGGTTAATTCCTGGATGTAAAAAGAAATAATTATAGCTAGACATTTCACTTTTTTAAGCATACATAGTTTTCTTGGATTTGAAACATCATAGTTACTTGGGCTTTGTTTTTTTTGTTTCCTTGCAAAATCATAATAAGCTACCTCTATCCATCTTCCAATTAAGTACAAATATCTATGTAGTTTTGTAATTAGTTATACATATTTTTTAAATAAATCTTTCAGCACCTAAAACAACATAATTAGGGACAAAGAATATCAACTTAACTAATGAACATAGAGTTGAAAAATAGAATTCTGAAAAATTAAATGAACTCTTGCTTTGCATGTCAGTGAAAACCTTTTGTTATTTTCTGGCAGGTATCTAGATAGACAGAGGCTTTCCCATGTATTGACAGAACTGTGCAAAACCCAATTAGTTCTTTAGCTTTACCAACATCTGTTCTTTCCTGAGAAATTATTCCAAATAATTCTTAAGCAGAAAGTTATTCACATTATAAAAAGTTCAAGAATACTTTAGCTTAGTTTTATTTTGGGCTTTGTAAAGGCAGACAGAAACTGTCACAGACACCAGCTTTAGATAAAATCTACAGTACATTTAGCCTGGTGCTTCACCCACATTATAAAGACCAATAGCCAAGCTAATGGAGAGAAACTGCATGTACAAAAAGTCAAAAGAAGAAAATAGATGAGAAATAAAATGTCAGAAGTGTATTAACATGTGTACATTTCAGATTGCATGTAAATCTAGCATTTAATTTATATAGTTGCTGCATTGTGCTGTATTGTTTCAAGTGTAATAATCATCTTCTTGACTATGATGTAAACTCCTTGAAGCAGGCCTTGTGTTTATAGTCCCTTTGTAGTCCTTAAAAGAGCTAAGCCTAATGCTGAACAACCATTAAATTATTATTGATAAATTGATTAAGATCATAATTCAAATTTGATAGGACAATGCAGTGTTAGATTGTTAATTGCAAACTGCACAACTGTTAGGAATTCAAGTTGAATTGACACGAATAGCTTTAGGTTACCCCGACATTGTTTATTTATTTCTAATTTTAAGATTGCTCTAACTTTATGGCTAATGACTAAAATTTGTAAAACAGTTTTCACTGTAGTTGAAAAATATTTCCCATGTAAATGTGGTCTGTGTATTTCTTTTTTATTATATTTTATTTTTCCTTTGGTTTTGTGCAAAAAGAAAAGATACATTATATGCTCTTTAAGCATTGCTTTCCTCCCTTTCAGACACACATTAAATCTGATGAAGTGAGAAGACTCCCATTTTGATAATCCTTTTATCTTCACTCTCCAACTAAAGTTAAGGAAGAAAGAACTATTGGTATTCAATAAAGAATGATGGGAACCCCCGCTTTCACTTGCTCTGACCCCACATAGGAAGAGAAGTAAGTCAAAGAAAGTCATAATGACACATAGTTTTCATTACTATGTGATATTTCAAAGTTAAAGGAGAGAGGTAATACAGAGGGTATACTCTCTCTTAGACTCATATCTTTTCACAAGGTTCCCAACCAGGATATGATTATAGAAGGACTATCCTCTCTTCTAGGGACCACATTGTATTCGTAGGAAAATTCTAGTAGACGTTGACATTGTGATTCTGTGTATTTAAATGTTGTAGCTTTGTTTTAGGCATAAGTAATTGAATCTGGCTGTAACCCAGCCTGTATCAGATTACTTCACTGGAGTTGAGTGGGTTTAGAACTCACCTCTCCTCTCTTTGGGTCCTATGGTGGGAGCTGCACACTCTTGTTGAGACAAAGAAGATGACCTAAGATATGTTTCTAAGTTGTGAGTTATTTTTACACAACCTTGTGATAAGGAGTATGATCTTTACAAAAGGAGCAATGGTCTTTATTAAATAGGTTGTCTAAGAGTATTACTGGAGAAGGGTGTCTTTGGTGACTGTATTGTTGGTTATATCTGACTCTAATTCACGGGATATTGCTTTGAGAAAACTATTGCTAATAGTCCCTAGACTATCAGTGACATTTCCTGTGTTATTAATCATAGAAAAGCTGCCATAATTTCAATGTACACATCTTCCTTGACTTATGATAGGGTTATGTCCTGATAAAACCCTGATAAATGTTGTAAGTTGAAAATATCATTAGTTGAAAATGCATTTAATATACCTAACCTACTGAACAGCATAGCTTAGCCTAGTCTTTTGAATGTGCTCAGAACACTTACATTAGCCTGCAGTTGGGCAAAATCATCTAATGCAACGCCTATTTTATAATTAAATGTTGAGTATTTCATGTAATTTATTGGATGTTGTGTTAAAAGTGAAAAACAGAATAGTTGTGTGGGTGCAGCATGGTTGTAAATGTATCAGTTGTTTACCTTCATGATCCCATGGCTGACAGAGCTCTGACTCACTGCCATTGCCGAGCATCACTAGAAAGGATTGGACTGCATGTTACTAGCCTGGGAAAAGATCAAAATTCAAAATTCAAAATAAAGTTTCTACTAAATGTGTATCACTTTCACACTATCATAAAGCTGAAAAATCATAAGTCAAACCATTGTAAGTTGGGGACCATCTGTACAGTAAGTGGCATATAACTAACATTCTTGTTTATATGTGGATTTCACATGTTTTATCTTTTGGCTTATTGGACATAGGTCAGTGAAAAGTAAGCATTGTTAGCACTAGGGAGTTTTCCACATGTTATGTCTTTAAACTCAATGAATCACTGTAACATCCAAACTGGCATTGTACTATTTATACTGTCTAATCAGGAATATAATTTCACAACATCGAATTTGCAACACAACCATAGCATTGCAATTTAGCACACATTTTGTTAATGTGCTTTGTATCCCATTAAAGTCTCATCTTCACAGCCCAGTGCCATATGTTACCGGGTCTAGAGTAAACCTCTTACTTAAAGAGGAAATAAATGGGAGTAAAATTACAATGTGACATATGCTATTGGTTACCTACCAACAACCAGTCCTCTCTTCTTCCCTGATCAAACCCCAATTTTGTTCAAGTTTGGGAAAAATGTGCTCAGGAAAGATGAGTTCACTTCTAGCTCAGGTATGAAATATGAAGGATATCGCCATAGTATCATTCCCCTTTCAACCAGAGATTCATTTGGAATTTGTATGTAACTGAGTTTTGGCCAAGAGGACATGAAAAAAAATCTGTTTTAAGGCTTCTGGAAAAAGTATTTTTCCTGATAAAGAAATACGCGTTAAGGAGAAAACTCCTCAGTTCCCTTTCCTTTCCAGCCTTTGGATGTTGTTATGAGGATTTAATGCATAGAGTTACTGCTGCCTAAGGGGTTGGGGATGAGGAAGATTGTGACAGGCAGAGCAAGGCAAGGTTACTTGCCAGAGGTTAGAACGAGTTTAGGTACTTTAAGGCATTGTTAGGCTGCTGAGCCAATGCTTAGATCTGTTTCTCGCTGGATTTCCTCCTGAATGTCATAATAAATGTCCTTATTGTTTAAGCCACATTTAGCAGGGTCTTCTGTTACTTACAGACAAAAGCATTCCAGCTGATGAAAGAAGTTAGTTAAAAAATGCAGTTCGTACCATTGTGGTTGCTTTTCTCACAGGCAAAGGTAAGGCAAAGAGAAGAGCATTTCTGGTTTACTAATGAGCTTTTTGTAGATCTGGTAGTTTACAGCTTGAAATGTATTCCCCCCACAGAAAATGTTATAAATGGTGTCCAGGTTCCCAAGGTAAACCCATAAGGCCTATTTAATCCAATAATACCACAAAATCTGTATGGTCTAGGAGAATTGAATCACCTTGAAAAACAATGTTTCCTTTGGGATGAAAATGTATTCAAGAAAAAAAAATGAATTCAGAGATCCAGCTTGGCAAACAGAAAATAATTACCCCAACATTAACAAAACTGAGGACTTCTTTTCGTTATGGATAGAGTAGTGGGAAGATTTATTAACCCATATCCCAAAAGGCAGTGGTAATACCTGTTGCCTGAGAGTCAGCCTGAGAGGGGTCAAAGGAGCAGGATAGAAGCTTGGCAAGTGGGAGGGCTAAATGCTTTCTTTCCCCTCTACCTCTAGTTTCAGGAATTTACCTGCCTGTTTCAATTGCTATGCTACTATTTCTAATAAAACAATTATCTTCCTTTCTTCTCCCTGGAGAGAAAAGTTATCCATAACTTGTGGCATACTCGGGCAGAATTAAGAGTGTTATATTAATATTGTTGCTTACCTGGTTCTGTTCACTCTGAACTGCTGGTTCTAGATGCAGAACTAGATGCAGTTCACTCTAGAACTGCTGGTTCTAGGTGCAGCCTCCCAAAGGCTAATTGTAAGATATTGTCTACTACCTAAGGTATCTCTATATGAGTAAAGCTATGGGGGAGGGTATTTAACTTGGGATCAAGTGGCAAGACATTCTACCAATATTAAATTGTGTTCTGTTTAAACCAGTGAATGGGGAAGATGTGAGAAGTCTGTTGCTTGCTTCTCCCTAAAACTCAAGAAGTTTGCCAGATTTTGTGTTCTGAGTTCTGAACTCCTTGCTTGTGGAATTCTTGACCACTTTCATGTGGCAGGTCCAAGAACTGAAGTGTGATCAGGACTCCAAAAGACAATTTCCACCCTGTCTTTGTTGGTTTGTGTTCTCTTTAAGCCTAAACTTGTAGAGAAGAAGGCAGACAAACTGGGGAGGAGATAGGCTTTCCAGGAGTTTTCTCAGAGCTTAGAACATAAATGAGGATATAGAGGCCTTTCACTGAATTACAGAAATCTGAGACCTGTTCCCACCCTGAATCCTTGAGATGTGTCCAGATCTTTGATGGGCAGTACAAGGATGGGGGGGGGGGGGATTAGTTCTTGTGATAGGCAATAAAAATAATTATAATAAGAATATATACAGTCAATCACATATAAATTAAATATGAAAGGTGATGTGTCTGATATGTCTCTGAGGATTTCTCTGCTTTTTCCAATTTTCACCGAGTTCTGTGAATATGAGCATGATTTCTAGTATACCACACTTAAAGTCTCCTTTATGCATAACCCAATATCATATGGGTTTCTTATGCACACAACTCCTTCGAGGATTGCTAGAGATTTTTAACTGATAATAACCACAAGAAGTAGGAAGTAGGGATTAGGAAAATGGTTCCTTTTTTACTATTTTAATATTAGTTTCCTTTACTTAGACCTTCACTTCTATTCTCCATGTCTCAGTCTGTTCAGGCTGCTGTGACATAAGTACCATAGATTGGGTGGCTTATAAACAACCAAAATATATTTCTCACAGTTCTGGAGACTGCAAGTCTGAGATCACAGTGCCACCATGGTCAGGTCCTGGTGACCGCACTCTTCTGGGTTGCAAACTGCCAACTTCTTGTTGCACTTTTACATGATGAAGAATAGAGAGAGGAAAAAAAATGATCCCATGATTCTTATAAGGGTACTAATCCTATAAGGGTTCTACTGTCATGACCTCACTTAATCTTTATTACCTCCCAAAGGCTTCACCTCCTAATACCATCACATTGGAGAGTGGAGTTTCAACACATGAATTTTGAAGGGACACAAACACTCAGTATATAATACCTTTAACTCTAGGAGCTGTTAAAGAAAGAAACATGAATTTCTTCTGTGGAGTTTTGAGAACTGATAAAAAAAGATCAGTCTTACTCTTATATCTTACAGAATTATGTTTTATACAGTAAGGTCAAGAAATACATTCTCACGAAAAACATGTGAGAAAATAGTAGTCTGGGTAAAGTTCCCCAGTGAGGCTTCTCTAGGATCCATTTTTCTCATGGGAAATATATTTGTATCCCAGCAAGGGTCATCTGCCTGTCTCTGGTGGAGCCTGGCAGGCTGGGGAAGTCCTCAGTGGGGTTTGCCAAGTATAATAGTAAAATAATAGTCTATTGCTGTATAACAAATTACTTCAAACTTAGTGACTTAAAACAAACATATTTCTTATTTCACAGTTTTTGTGGGTCAGGAGTCTGGACAAGGCTTAATGGGTCCTCTGCTTAGCGGTTCATAAAGCTGCAAAGTGCCCATTGGGCTATGTTTTCATTTGGAGAAAAACCCACTTTGAAGTACATTTAGTTTGTTGGCAGAATTGATTTGCTTGTAGCTATATGACAGAGGCTGGCTTTGCTGGGTGTCATCTGGAGGCCACCACAGGTCCTAAAGGATGGTTGGAATCCCTACAGGCTACCCCCAGTTCTTGGTCACATATACTTCCTCAACATGACTGCTTACGTCATCAAGCCATCAGTGAGATTTCCCCGTCTCTCTGATCTGCTTAAATGGAGTTTTGTGTAATGTAATATAATCATGAGAGTGATATCCTATCACCTGTCCAAAGTTCTTTGGCTAGAAGCACATCACAAGTCCCACCCTCACTCAAAGATGAGGATTTACATAAAGGCATGGACACAAGGAGACATTAGGTGGTGGAAATTATTGGAGGGTCATCTTAGTATCTGTACACCACACCAGGTTTCTTAAACCCTAACCATATCCTAGAACTCTAAACAATAGCATTATATGACTGTAAAAATTATTTTTAGCACATCTCCTGGATCTGGATTCTGGGCTCAATTTCTTACTATGTCATTAGCATCATCTTGTACCGTCATATTTCAACAATATAATCCTGAGCAGTCTGTACACAAATACAAAGTATGCCAGGAAGACATGGGACATGCAAGGCTTTGCCAGGCCCACAAATCAGTCCCGCTTCTGAAAGCCAGGTAGAGAGGGAATACCAGAAGGGTCCAATCAGTTCATTGCACTTTTCCCACTATAGAGTTACTATTGAATATGATTGGTTCTCTAGTGATGGCTTATTAGATGGTTTAGATCTTCGTGCAAACTATGCTCTTGTTCCATATTTAAGCCCAAAGTTCATAGCTTTCAGTCACTATTTCTACAGTCATAACAGCCAGGACAGTTGTAGCCTTGCCTCTTTAAGGAATCCTGCTGATCCCAGATCAAACATATTTTTCTCTTCCCTCCCAGTGAATTTCCCTTAGGGGCTTGGGGTGTCAGTGGCTTTCAGAATTTAGTCAGGGTGACCTCCCTCCATTAAATAGTTTTCCTTACTTTCTAGCCTCAGGGAGAAGTGGTTCAAATTTCCCCTCCTTCGTTCACCAAGAGTTCTTTATGTAAATTGGTGCACCCACTTCTGAGGCTCTGATTACCAAGAGTTAGGTGCAGCCCTGCTAAATCTAACAGATTTGTTCAGTTAGGAATGACTGTGCCTTACATTTGTATAACTGCATAACTACACGGAATAGAGAAGAATGGCTTTAGGATGACTTTTTTACCTCTGCCTAAACAGAGAAGCAGCTGGTACTATGCTCAGTAAAACAAATTAAAGCTCTGCCTCACCAGGCATTCCAGGCACCCCATTATGCTGGTATTTTATTATACACATCTTCAAAGCAGTATTTAAGTACTGAGTCTTTATCAATTGAGTTCTATGGGAAGTTTTACTCTTCTCCATTATGCTGCCAAATGCTGACGAGATGTGACAATTCTCTGTCATTCCATCTCCAGAAATATTTGTCTGTTTTCTTTATGCATGTTGTGGCTGTAGGACAAGTGTTTTAAGGTCCTTTTGTTGGGGAAAGTCCCAACTGGAAATACCTGCCCCATAGGGCAGAAACAAGGAGGCCATGGCATTTCTTATGTAGCATGTTAAACAGCCATCCCAGGTGTTACAGTTTATTTTTTTCACATGGTACAGTATCATGTGGATTATACAAGCACATGAAACTTGAGATTTCTCTAGAGCATTTATGGCTAGGTATAAAGAAGTAAAAAGTGGACGTTAGGTATATGCTTTTCTCTGGTCTTTGCTATTTGTACTTTGCTTTCTACTTATGCCTCTCCCTGAAAAACCATATGCACCTAAATTTAAGATTTATGTTTTCTCTATTTAAATCTATGAACATATGAATCCTGTGATAACTTTTGAGTACTGAAGTTAAATGAGTTAGTATTTCAGAATTAATCTCGACTAATAACTTCCTGAAAATTTCATTAAAGAAGAGGCAAAGACCCAGTATCTTGAAGTGAAAAAAAAAAAAAAAAAGATAGAAAAGTAGGACAACTGTCTGAGTTTGGGATGCCATCCCTTTCCTTGTAAGAACTGTACACTAGAACTGAGTGACTGGGGTGTATCGAATGGACACAGTTGTTAATTGTGGTCTTCCTAGCTATTGTTAACTATCCTATTATTGGCTGAACTTGGGCATAAGAGATAGTCACAGGAAGCATTAATTGAGTGGAGCAGATATTTTAAACTGCTACATTTTGAAGTGATTAGTTACACAGCTGTAGATAGATAATATAAGCCTCTTACATAGTACTATCAGGAGAGCCTCTCTAAAGAGATGATATCTGATATGACCTGATCAAAGAGTAAGAGGCTATTTGATACTTAGGATGTTAAGTGTTCCAGGCAGAAACAATAGCAGATACTGACCTTAAGGGAGGGG